CTTCAGTATGAATATTTTCTATTATATTCTAGCCCATTAATCCTTTCTTGACTTATATCTAATTTTCTATAAAAATCATCACTATTTCAATTATTGTAGCTTTAAAAGAAAGCTGGAGTATTTATTTTTATAGATTTCAGTTTTCTGAAAATGTTCCATTTTTGTATTGTAGTTTTGAACACATTTATCAGTTATTTTAAAGTTCGTGTCTCGTAACTTCAATACTTGAAATCTCCTGTGGGTCCATTTATATTTTCAAATTCCTCTTTTGATTTGTCTTTGTACACTTAGTAATTTTTTCTTGACTACTGAATATTGTGTGTGGAAAATTGTATAGGCTCCTAATGATGTGATCCTCTAGAGCTTTTCTTCAACATTTTGCTGGCGATTAAGAGTAGAAATAGATCACCTTGAGCCAATCTAAGATTGAGATGATTTAGGACTGGATTTTCAACTTCATGAGAGCTGGTCTGCATCTATTTCTTGCTTACTCTTAGGGTATATGCCATCAAGGTAAATCTTAGCCTTCCTTCTTGTCTGCTTGCAAACTAGTAAATGCTGCAAGTTGAAAATCAGCTTAGACTCGTAGGTTCACTTCTGAGTGACGTCCTTCTCTTTCAGTATGTTGGCTCTTCATGTTTTGGCTGCCTTGGTAGAACTCCATTGCCTCTAAATTGTTGACTTTTATAATTTATCCAGCTTTTCTAATTGTTCTTGGTGAGAGGGCTGGACTGATGTTAAGCTAGACCAGTGGACCCTTGAGGATGTAGTCTGGAAATTCTTTTTTTTTCCTTACCTATACTGGGGTTTGAACTCAGGGCCTCACACTTGTGAGGAAGGCATTCTATCTCTTCAGCCACTCCACCAGTCCAAGTCTGGGAACTCTTGAGAATCCCTGAGGTCTGAAGGCAAGTTTGTTGATATTTTTACTGATGCTGCAAAAGCAGTGATGGGGAAGATGCTGGTACCCTAGTGTGAATCAAGGCAGTGGCACCAAACTGCTGGCAGCCATAACCTTCATTCTCATAGATGTATAATCAAAACAGATGCAAGTTTCCATTGAAACTGTCTTCTATGAAGTAGTAATAATTGTTCATTTTACTAATTCTTGATACTTGACTGTACCTTTTTTAATAATTTGTGTGCTGAAATATCACGTAACCATAAAACACTTCTGCTGTATGTGGAAATGCAATGGTTTCTTGTGGAAAAATACTTGGATGACAGGTGAACTGAACTTGTTTTTCTCTTTCATGGATCACCATTTCTTCTTGAAAGATTGATTGATAGACAAACCATAGTTCTCAAAAATGAATGAAGTGAGCTGTCTCTTCAAGACAAACAACTGATAGTGTTCATTGCCAATGATAAAACTGGCAGTAGATCAAGGGAAAATTAGATTTTTAGAAAACTTCTATCCAATACTGTGAGTATGATAATTTTTCAATATTTGAAGGCTTTTCCACTAAAATTGGTGATCTTAACTAATGTGATTTTTATTCTGCATAATGAAATATGTACACATTTGGAAGAGCTACATAACACTGTGAATCAATATTTTCCAAATAAACAATTCATGATGTTACAGAATTATGCTTTGAGGAAATATTCACTCAAGTTGCAAGATAGGCCAACAGATTTTAATGTAACAGTGGTACAGTGACACAGTGGTATGGTTTCTGATCATTCATTGAAACTGACCTTTAAAAAACTATCGTTTGTCAGACTCTGGTGTAGTGTCAAAGAAGAATATTCACGATCACATGAAAAGACTCAAAGTAATTCTCCCTTTTCCAGCTATTTTTCTGGAGACTGGATTTTTTTCATTTTCTTTAACTGAAACAGCATATTTCAAAAATTGAATGTAGAAATACAGAATCCAACTTTTTCCTATTAAGCCAGACATGCAAACAGATTTGAAAACATGTAAAACAGTACTTCTCTTCTCACTGTTATCTTTTTTGACTATAGAAGCCCAAAATTTTGGCCACTTTATATGGTAACAGATTGTTTAATGTTTTGAATATACCAGGCAAATAAATATTCTTATAGTCTAAATTGTCAGGTGTCAGGGAGATTGTTCACTTTTTAATCTATTAGATTACATGGGTCTAGCCTTTGATTTGCTGATCATTTGATTAGAAAGACAAATGACATTTACAAATATTAGACATTCTTAACATGTGGGTAAGACAGGAGAGATTAAAGTCTTTCAACCAGCCTTGTCATTCAATCTTAGATTCATTTTTGGAAGTTGCCCTGTCTCTACAATGCATATCAACCAACATAGTTAAGACACATTTAGTTAAATAAATGTGTTAAATAACACATTTAGTTAAGATTTTAAAAAAGGCCTTTGGTTATTTTACAAATAATAAACATGATCAGATGATTAAGTATCTTAGTTTTAGAAAGTTTTACAAGACACTTCAGAAATTCCATTTCCCACCACCGATGAATACAATATTTTTTTTCTTGAGAGCATATGGGTGTGTACATAAATTATATAACCATGATTATAAAATGGCTAAAAGATAGCAGTAGTTTTCTTTCTAACATACATCCTACCAGGATTATAAATCTGTCATATTTAGAGTTAAAGTCATTCACTTTTGTTCTTGGTTATTGTGTGATTGATTTTATATGTGAAAGACATATCCTTGTATAACTTTAGTTTTTGAGTATAAAGACTACAATTATTTTACATCATGCACAGTGTCTTACTGGCAGGTAGACTCTCCATACTTGCTGTTCAGTTTAAAAGTGGTGATATAGGAAATTCATTTCCTGTCTCCAAGTATTGGTTGAGAGCTCATCATGTTGTGTTAGGCCCCAGTGGCTATGCATTGGTGCCTTTTGTCCTCATACTGAAAAACAGATGACAAGAATTTAAGATGCGAAGAGTCCAAGTCTTTTTGTTTTGAAAGAATTGTTTCAATGGCAGTAGAATTATTGTGAAAGAACCTATTTTTCGTTGAAAATCCTACCTTCTTTGCAAATAGATAAATGAAGTAGAGTTTCAGTAAAGGAACTGCTGATTTGTCCTCCTTGCTGCACAATTTGTCGGTCAGAACAATGATCTTAAATAGCCCTAAAACAGAATTGATTTTGATTTCACATTTGAACCAGTGTTTGCACTGTCATTCAGTGGGTCTGGTAGATATGGGTTTTCACATTGAGAGGCCTAAACCTTTACTTTATTACCTTGTTTTTGGCAGGCCCTAGCAGCTGAGTTCTAGGCAGTTACATGAGGGAGCTCAGTTAGAGAAGTTGGCTTTGAACTCATAAATAGGTATATTATGCCTTATTGGGTTCAAACATGTTACTTCTCTGGGCATAAAATGTTTGCAAAGTCTACTTAATCCTGCCCAACCATGCTAATGTGTTACGTAGTTACACTTCCTGGCCTTGAGTTTGGGTGTGTAATCTGAACAAGTTAAAACATGTAATGGGGAGGAGAAATGGAGAGGGCACTTGGGGTGAAGAAGATTAAAGTATATTACTTATACACATATGGAGGTAGCATAAAAAACTCCACCAAATATTGTTTTTAAAAGGTAGGGAGGAGAGAATATAAAAGAGGGGATGAACTTGCTCAAAATATACTGCATACATATATGGAATTTTCACATGAACTCCTTGTACTACTAATAAATTCTAAGTAAAAATAAATAAAACATGTAATGAAAATACTTAGTTGAAAGAGCTCATGATGTGTCATTGTGGGCTAAGATAAGGACTCTCTGGATAGACTCCCTTCTGTGGGATCTTGAATAAATGAGGGTGTTCTCAGTACTTAGTGCTCGTTGTCTGTGACACAGGAAATATTAGAAATGTTGGGAGGATGCTTTGTGCTGATGCTCATAAGATGCTGTGCATGTAAATGTTGGCTGTTATGGTTTTTCTTTATGCTAATTAATGAGGTCACATTCTAAGAGCTCAATAACTGATCATAGCAGAACCTTCTTCACATTTCCCTACCACTCAGTTTTCAGGCTGTCTGACTATGTTCCCTGTTGCTGGAATCTTAACAACATAAAAAAAAATGATTTTTTTATCTACAGTGGTGAGCCATGCATTTCAAAAAGTTTCAGCTTTTGAATATCAATACCTGCTCAGTTATCTCCCTATATGTGCTGCCATTGGCAACAGCCCAGGTATGCCTGTTGCTAATTAATCACTTCCACTGAGAACTTAATTAGTGGCTTAATTAGGATCATCCTTGAGTAGCAGACAGCATCATCCACAGCCAGCTGCAAATTATTGGCCAGCTCCAGCAAGTCCTTCTGGTCCCATGGAAACTTAGACTGAAGAGGAAACCTCTTGTGCTTCTATTTGTCTTCTTTAAAGAAGGCTGTGGAAAGATCACTGGTTGTCTGTGATGCCTCATTAACTGTCACACATGTGAAAATAAGGGAACATACCACTTATATTGAATCAGAAAACCAAGATTAGTTATTAAATTTATGTGATTGTGCTAAATGAGCAGGAAACATGTTACTGTTTGCAAGTGTTGATAATGAGACCATGTATTCTGAATGACAGCATATTTCATTTTTCTACTGAAAGTTAAAGTACTTTCCTTCTGGCATTGTTGTTTTATAATATATGTGTTTTTGAAATATAGCTACATTGCTTCAAAATGAAATCAGTACTCCATTTTCTTTCTCTTCACTCCCTTAGGAAAATAAGGCAAAATTAGCATCTTTCTGCCTTATTGTCCTGTTAGAAGTAGAAATTGGGGTAGGAGTGAGAGCCATAATCAAGTTACTTCAAAAACAACATTTCTTCGAGTTCTTTGGATGGACTGGAATTTGCAATAATAAGATAAAAATAAAATTCCGTCTTTTAGAAGAGGGAATCCTTTGAGTCAAGTTCCCAAATGAGGACAGGCATTATGAGATGGACCTACTTTGCACATTTGCCTCATTTTCTTAATGATTGTAGGTAAATTGTGAAGTTGGAAAAGCGATCTATTCAAATATTTTTGTCATCAACAGATTTGCTGCTGCTTCCGGGACAAGTGGAACAGGATGTAACCACCAGTGTTCCTTCTTATATTCCTTCTGTGGACCAGCCTCTCCCCACTGAAGTAAAGCCAAATCCCACTGTAAAAAGGGCAGATAAGCAGACAGAAGAGGTACTCCCCAGCAAATTCAGTCTTGACAGTTCCTAGATTTTGTAGTTTATCCTTTCAGAGAAGTGCTACTATTCCTTTGTGCTCTCGTATTCTTCCTTAGATTTGGGAAAATTTAGGATTTAAGTTGTTTAATTGGTCCCTTTCACCTCCATCTGTCTGTAATGCACATATATCTTTTTAAACATAAAAAGCATTATGTTTATATATGGAAACTACTTTTGCTTTCTGATATATGCCACATTATAGAATAATACTTCTTAGAGACTACACACAATAGATAGAATGGACAGTTTTCCTAGCTCTTTTAGTCTGGGCTGGCTATGAATCTTCTTCTTATCATTTCTAAGGTCCTATAAACCTTTTGTATTAAATTAAAGTAATACCAGACTGCTGAAGCAGAGAACTACAATAATAATTCCATGGCTGAAAGTAGGTAGTTTATTTCTCTTATTTAAGAGTCAGTGGAGAGTTCTTACAGTGAGCAGATCCATTCTCTAGAGTCATCAGAGACCAAAGGCTCCTTCTCTCTGAATGTCTTCTAACCCTTGGGACATCGTCCTCTTCTGCATGTTCCAACTTAGGTCACCATCATACCTGGAAGGGTAGAAAATGGAGCATGAGGGCAGCATGCCACTGCAGGGATTAGAACTCAGTATCCTTCATTGCTGCTAACATCCCATTCGCAACCACTTATTAATGCGCTCATGTCTAGCCACAGTGCAGGGGAGAAAGGAATCCCTGCTTCACCTTTACTCTCCTAAATGTACAACTTGAAAGTCATTTTACTATCATTTTGCTGTTCTTCTACATACACCAAGAGAGGATACTGGTGGTGCTGGAAAGACTTTTCTCACCCTCCATATTCTAAAATAAAGGGGGATCAGGCACAAGAAGTTGTTAAGGCTCTTTATTATTGGTTTCTAATAAAATCCCAAGGTTTCTCTTAGTTTAATCATTCAGGTACTAATCTTGTCACTGGAAGATATTCTGCTGTAGAGTCAGCCATTCAATTAGAAATAATTCATATATTTAAATTCTAAATTGCCATGTTCCTTTAGTACCTTTGTTCACTATCCAGGAGGCTTGCAGGTTTATAGTAAATCTTAAGTTGGTTACCAGGACAGCTACGTTCCAATATGATTTTTGAATTGTAGATTGCATACTCAAGTGTAAGAAGCTAAAAATTTTAAGGCAATTCCTAGCAAGAATCAGTTTCTTTTAAAGAGTTGTTTATGTTTTTTTTTTTTTCTATGTGGGCCTGAGATTTGAACTTGGGGCTTCATGCTTGCAAAGCAGTGACTCTACTGCTTGAGCCATGTCTCCAGTACTTGTTCACATTTTCTTGACTTCAATTGTGACCATACAAGTCATTGGACTAGTCACTGGACATGACATCTAGTACCTTTTTAGAAATATAATTCCATTTCAGTACAATTATAGAATACACGTGTCCTAGGACAGCAAGAGAAATTGTTGTAAAGTGGTGTCAGTTAATGGGTTAAAAAAAGCTGAATGATTTCTGGGAATCTCCTTAACAGTAAGTGAAACACAAGTTAAAACTGTGTGTAGGATTGCATTTTAAAAAGAATATAAATATCTAAGGAAAGTGTGAAGGAGGCTGAATGTAGTGGAAATATTGTGTACTCATGTATGAAAATGGAAAGATGAGACATGTTGAAACTATTCCAAGAATGGGGGGAGGGGAGGATAAAGAAGAATAATGGAAGGGTAAATCCAACTATGATACATTGTAAGGACTTCTGTAAATACCATGATGTACCCTCAGTACAACAATAATAAAAAAAAGACTACAAATTTATTGATTTCATAGGAAATGTGAATTTTTAATGTTGGAATGAAAATATAACCAAATTTTGTGTTGGCAAATTCGTGAGTCATCCATAACTTTTGCTGTCTTTTGACTGAATAGACTAATATTTTGGTTGGAATTTTTCTTTCATGTTTCTTTGGGGTTTTGAGAGAGTTTAACTGTGTAGCCCATGCTGGCTTGAACTTTATATGTAGTTGAAGCTGTCCTTGAACTTACACTCTTGTGCCTCAGACTCCTTTTTGTATTATGCACCATCATAGCTGCCTAGGATTTTTATTTCTACCTATTACTTGTTAGGGAAATGTTCCAGAACTGTCTAGAATTGTAATACTGCATCAACTCTGTTTGGTTTAATAGTATTAATCTTATTTTAAGTCACCTAATGCTATGAAAGGCACATACTCATTAGTTTCCAGTGAGTATCCTATAAGGCCCACCAAATGCCATGTGTGGGCCTGAGATGGCTATTGCTTTCTGTGATGCCAGTCTGAAAAGAGGAAAATATGTTCTGGGTGTTCTGACTTCCTCTTAATTGCCTATTATGAACTCACTAACTTTCTAATGTGGACTGGAACTATTTGATTGTTTACCCCTAATTTTATTACTGGTTTTATAAACATGGATTTTTTTCCATAGAGTTAAATATGTAAATAACTTCTTGTTTTGATTACTCTATCTTGATGAATTTTGGAAGTTTTGAACAGCTTCATAGAACAAGAACAGTTCACATTAGGAAGATGAAAATTGTGGTGCCCCTTGTTGCCAAAATCATAGAAGAGGTCAATAGAAAAAACTCGAGTCATGTTTTAATATGAGATCTCCTGTTTTTTCACTTGATAATGAGATTCTGAAATTTTCCATCTATAAAGACAGTTTATTTACCATATTACTTTCTATGCTAGCTTACACCTAAATGCTGCCATTATTGATTTGAACATTAGTTCTGTTTTCTTTAATTTGTCTATGTGGTGTTATGAATGAAAATGATTTCTCCTTTAACAATGTGCCTCTGTTAGAATAAGTCACATGAGCAATTTTAAGGAAACTCAAAGTTTTCCAATAGTGTAGAAATTCTATTCCCTGAGAGGCCATAAAAGGATTTCAATTAGACTTGAAATTAGACACCTGAAATCCACATATTTCTCTCAGCTCCTTAGGCAAAAATAACAAGTTAATAACTTAATTCACAGTTGTTTTTGTTGTTGTTGTTGTTGTTGTTTAGTAGCAGGGGATTTGGTGTTCTGTTGCACAAATTCTTCTCTGAAATAAATCAGAATTTTAGTTTGTAATCTAAAACCTTGGGGTCCTGTAGCTCAGAACCCTGAACTAACCCAATTTGAAAGAAGAGCATTCCCAGTCTGTTACAACAATCAATAGCTGAAATGCAGAATAGAAATGCAGCCTTACTATGTTTTAAAAGCTGTCATTTGGAAGGTTACAGTGATGTTTTCTGAATGGCAGTTTAGACCTAGTCTCTCTTTGCATTACATGTGTCCCTTGTCTTGAGAGAGTCTGCATTCACTCCTCCTTGTGTTCACAAGCTTATCTGATTCAAATGCAAAATGTCAGAATGAGTGCTGAGCTTAGTACTATTCATATAGTAGACATGCAATAAATATTTATTGAGTGAACAAATAAGTAACCAAAAACCCCACCACAGACTGGGAGTTATTTTCTGACATAACATGGTTTGGGTCATGTGAACATGTTCAAATCTTTCCCATCCTTAACAAATTGGAACAAAACAAGAAAAAACAACCTTTCCTTTCACCACGGATCCCTCTTTGCCTACTGTCTATTTTTTTCTTCTTTATTTTTAACTCAAGACTTCAGAGGCCATTAGACTCTATCAGTTGGCACTGCTTCCTTTCCCCTCATTCCTCTTTCAATATACTACAAAATGTTTTTGGCCCCTATCATCTGCCTGGATGTGTTCTGAATGACAGCACCAACTACTTTACAATGGCCCAATCCAGCATTCACTCTTCACTCTTTATTTTAATGGGTCTGACACCACTGGTCTTCCCTCCTGTCCCCCCACACTCTTGCTTTATTGGTTTTCACTTCACTAGTCTCTGAATCTTTGTGTGTTTCTTTAATAGTTCCTTTCTGCATCCTTGGGGGATTCCCACCCCCATCTACCCCTAATGAGTTGGTGCTCTGCACTTAACCTATGCTTTTTATTACTCTACATACTTGGATCCATTTTCATCTTCAATTACTGCCTGTTATTCTTATGTCTACAAATCAGCAACTTTAGCATCAAACCTTTTTTCTGAGTCTGTTGACCTCTCCATTTGCATTCTTTCAGGTACCTCCAAATTTAGTATGTTAACAAATGAACTTGTCTTTACCTGCTTACTTTCCTGCATTCTCTTTCTCCTACCAGTTCCATGTCCAGAGCTGCTAACTTTACTTCCTAAATGCTTCTCACATCATTGCGATCAGTGCCCTATCCTCCTTATCTCTTGAATGGACAGCTACAGCAGGATCCTGAGTGTAGTCTTCTGACTCCAGGTGTACCCCCCTCAAAGTGAACTATTTAGATATAATCTCCAAGAGGGCAGGGCCTTTTTTTTTTCGCTTTTATTGCAGGTGCACAGTAAAAATTTGAATAAATGAAGGAATTTATGTGAAATGCATAGATGATAAGTGTCTGCCCTGCTTTCAAAAAATCCTTCAAGGACTTTTTGTCATCTCTAGGATGATTTGGCATCATCATCAACTTTTGTCACTCTCTCCCTTACAATTTATGCTCTGACAGTGTTGAACTAGTTTCAGACTCACAGATAAGAAATTGTGAGTCTTATTTCCCTGACTTGCTCTTGCTAACTCCCTTGTCTGCAAAGCTGTTCTTCCATCAGCCTTGTTAACTAATACACCTTTTAAGAGCCTGCTTAAATAGTGCCCCTTCCAGCTGTCTCTGATTCCTTCCCAGTCTCCTTTAGTCTGGCCTGAGTTAGGTGTCCCTTCTCTGTTCTCATCACCCCTTAACTGTACCATTTGTACTTACCACATTTTACTATAATGATTTGTTTATCTGAGATGTGTTCATCTCACTTGTCTGTGATTTCTCACAGGTCTTTTCCTTATATCCCCCTCACCTCACACTGACACTTTGACTCAGGAATATGCTGGCCACTTTGCATTATATATCCCAGATAGTTTAAAATATTCTGAGAATCATATTTTCCCATTGCATATATTAAATTACAGCTGCTTTGGGGTCCTTGCTTTTTTAGTTCAGCATTTAACTGCCTAGGAAAATAACCTAGCAATAACTGCTATTAATAAATTTTAGTTTCTAAGTGAAGAAATTTATATCTTTAAGGGAGGGCTCTAAGGTGGATTCTGAGTCCTAATGTAGTGCATACACATGGGATAGGTAGATGTATGATGACATGCTTTTAGAGCAGGCATAAGAGAGTGACAAGAATCCTATTATCCAGAGTGCACTGGTAGAGATGGGGTCTCTTCTGTGTTCTAGCCCATGGATCAGTTAGAATCAGGTATGCACACACTTCGTCAAGATGAAGTGTGGCCAAGTCTGTAAGCCTCAGTACTTACTGCTGAGTTGAGTTGGAGATGGATCACACACTTATATTTAGGAAACAAACATTTTGTGCATTGTGGTTGTGTTTCTTTATTTGAGCTTGTCTTTGCAATATTGCTCTTCTATCACTTTGGCTGTGGTGAGAATAAATTTAATCTCAGAAAGTGATGGAAATGGACAGATCAGTCACTCTACTCTGTGAGCAGATTTGATTCCTGTGTGCAGCTGCTCTTTTGAAAGCAGTCATGGGGTTATATGTGGCCTTGAGTCTTTTCTGAGGTAGACTGTGGGAACTGTTCAGCTTCTTCAGAATGGGTCTTTTCATCCAACGAACATTGACTTGGTTGACTCTTGCTGATGATATTTGAGCAAGTATGGCTTTATTTGAAGCAGATTGCCCTGAGTTTAATGTTTCTTCTCCTCCCTTATTGTGTAACCTTGGGCAAGTTCCGTAGTCTTTCAGAGCTTTATAAGATGAGGATAACAGTAAGTACTGGCAGGGCTCTTTGAAGCTTACTGCTGAGGCCCACATGGTTCCTGCTTCTAGGGCAGGCACATGGTAGGAACTCACTTAATGGCAGCTCTTGTCATCACTTTTTTCAGGAAAGCACACAGACCCTTTCTAATCAAGAGGAATTTGTTTTCTTGCTGGTTTTACTAAGAAAGAATGACAAATGGCTGGGTGTTTGCTATTAGTACTACACACCTAACTATAAGACATGACTTCCTGAACAGATAGGAGAGATCTGCTTTTAGTGAGTTCTTTTTCCCCTTTAGTAGCAGCACAGAGTTTCTGAACAATATGCTGCATTTTAAAAACATCGCAAAAGCCACTCAATGAGATCTTCCATGCAGGAATATTTCAAGCTGATTATAATTTCAGGGCATTTTTCATTCTTGCATAAACTTTATTTTCAGTTATTCTGGCATCACCATACGCATAATACAGCTGGATGGAGGTACTGGGTGATTTCGCTGTATCATGCACCATTTGCTTTTGGAGGGGTTTTTAAGGGGGTGATATAATGAGATTTGAGGCATTCTCTTTTTGTTTATTGGAAAATATGCTTTTTATTTATCATTCTTTAGGAAGTATTTAAAAATTCAAATGACATGTACAAAACTATTACCTATCTTTGCAGCTACTCTTACTTATAGATAAATGGTAATATATTAAAAAATTACTGGTAGGAAAAAAGGAATTCTGATCTTTTTTTTTTTTGATGGTATTGGGGTTTGAACTCAGAGCTTCATACTTGCAAAACAGGTGATCTACTGCTTGAGTCACACCTCCAGTCCATTTCTCTTATTTTGGAGTTGGGTTCTTATGAAATATTTGCCTGGACTGGCCTCAAAACATAATCCTCCTGATCTCAGCCTCCCAAGTAGCTAGGATTATAGGAGTGAACCATTGGAACCTGGCTTATAATTTAAGCTGATACTATACTTAAATCCTCCTATATTGGACAGGGGTTTATGGATACTATCTGAAGAAGTATATTAAGTTAGGTTATTTTTATCCTTGAAAATTATGTTTTATTAATATAGGTCTTTTTAAGTAAATGATGAAAATATATTTAAGATTGATCAAAATTTTAATGTATATTTTCTTACATTTTAATGTGACTCCTGGTTTTTCCATATGCCTCTAGCCCTGATGCTACAAGTGGTAAAGATTGTAATGAATGTGTGAGAGGGAGACTTTCCAATTCTTGCCTTTGGCAGAATTAGCTAATGATATTCATTCAGATACAGCATGATACAAATGGGGCATATTAAGAAGCTTAAATTAGGTCAGATTGAATAATTGAATTTATTTCTTTACTTAAAAACAGCTTAATCAGCTGAGAGTGCTGAAGTCTCAAAAAAGTTTAATTAAATATTAATAGGCAGTTTATGTTTTCAACTTTATCTTCATTTACAATGACTGTATATTTTTCTTCCTTTGTTACCTCTTATAGATACTCGGAGATGAAGTTCAGCCCTTTTCACTTGATGAAGATTTTGATTATGATAATGTGACTTTAACCCCCAAGTTCACTCCTGGAGAGATAGAGGCCATTAAACAGCTATTGAAGCAAGAGAGAATGAACACCAACATTGACTTAGAGGCACCCCCATGACTGAGTCACTAAGGCATCTTTGTGTTTATTTTTATTTTATTCTTATTCAAGCAACATTAGAATAAAAGATAAACCAATGGTAATTCCCTTGTGGAAGTTTCCATGTGTGCATTCATTTATCAGTTATCTATTATTAGGGAGATAAAGGAACTAATAAGACCAAAGAGATTGCTTCCCTGACGGATTTCTCTTCCTGTCATGTTTATTGCATCCTGTAATAGGTTGGGGAGATGGGAGTGGGAAATGGGAATAGGAAGTAATGACTGCTGAAGGTTCCATTTGATGAGATCATTGCACAAGGTATGTGTTTATTGTAATGAGGACTGGAAATGATCCCATCCCCATCTTCTTGGGGGTGAAGGACAATTACACATGCAAAACATTGTCGTAATACAAAGAGAAAAATTGCTTTTATGAGGAGGTCACTGGTTCCAGCTCTCTGGAGGGTGTGACATCAGTGTGATTGTTGAGAGACTAGGCTTCTGGTATTAATTCAGAAGAGCTTCATCAAATAAGAAGGCATCCGAGAGCTGATTATATGTCATATATGGAATTCTTGGATTTTTGTTATTACCACTAAACCATGTAGCATAGTAGTTACAAAATGCAAGGAATTACCTCTGTCTTCAGAAGCTTAAAATACAATGTGGAAAGGCAGGACAAAACCAGATGATGTAAAAACATATTATGAAATGCTGATTATGTAGAATACAATTAGGGGAATGAAAAAAGGGGTGAAGGCACAGAACAAGGGGTTTATACGTATGAAGTAATGAGTACAAATCAAATGTATGTAATCTTCATTGATTTTCTTTTATATGCTTTATTTTTAGAGCAGTTTTATGTTCACAGCAAAATTGAGGACAAAGAGAGTTCTCCTATACTCCTCACTACACACCCCCCCAGATTCCCCTACTATCATCATCCCATACTGGAGAGTACATTTGGTTTTGTTTTGGGTTGCTGTTACTTTCCTTCTCTCTTTTTCTTCCCCTGTGATAAGAACACTTAGCATGAGATCTACTCTTTTCAATTTTTAAGTAGATGATTCAATATTATCAACTATATGTACAATATTGTACAGAAGATCTCTAGAATTTACTCTCATATAAGTGAAACTCTGTGCCTACTGAACAGCAACTCTCCATTCTCCCTGCTCCAGACCACCACTCTGCTATTAGAGACGTCCCATGTAAGATGATGTGGAGCATTTGTCCTGTGATTGACTTATTTCACTTAGTGTAATGTCCTCTAGGTTCACCCATATTGTTATATAAGGCAGGATTTCCTTGTTTTTAAGGCAGAATAGTATTTCACTATAGGCATATTTTCTCTATTCCTCAGTCAGTGGACATATAGGTTATTCTCATATCTTGGCTATTGTGACTAATGCTGTGGGTGTATGCTTGTATACATATACATGTACTTATGTGTGTATGAAGAATTGTGTTAGTAAGTATTCACAAAAATGCCATTTATATTCTTTACTAAAGAATGCTCTGAATTTCATGTTGCAGTAGAGTCAAGTGCTTTGCATATTTATTTTTATTCATTGAACAAACTTTCATAAAGCACCATTTATGTCTCAGGCCTTATTTTAGTAGGAAGTAGGGAAGATACAAGTAAATTAGATATGGTCTAATTTAGTAGAGAAATGATTGCACAAATAATTATAGCAGAGGTATACTGTCCATATCATAGCTACTAGTTGCATCTCAAGGACTGGAATACTTGAAATGTACCCAGTGTGATTGAGCAGCTAATTTTAAAATGTTATTTAATTTTTATTTCAGTTCAAAATAAAAAACTGTTATTTGATTCAGTTTTTTAGAAAACTTCCAAGTAGAACAAATTAGGTATGTGAATCTACTTTTTTAAGTGTAAATTTTGTAAATCTAAATATAGGTCAGTTATTTTTGATGACATCTCTGTGTCTGAATTTAAAATATAATGGTAAAGTAAAATACACATAGGATTTTGAAGAAAGAAAAATTGTATCATTTTGTATTGATTATGTGTTGAAATGATACTATTTTGGATTTACCAGGTTAAATGAAATTTATTATTAAAATTCATTAATTTCTTTTTACCTTTTTAATTAGGCTACTAGGAAATTTAAAGGCACGGCATGCCTTTTTTATTTAGAGTGCTGCAGTAGAGGGTAATCTGTGTCATAAGAGAATTGTGTGCCAAGATCTACTGGGCAAAGCAAGTTGGAGTTATTTAATTATTCTTTGGGTAGATAGGGAATCTTCAAAGAGGAGGTGTCAGAGTCACCTGGAAGCCTTTGAATGAAATTGTTTTGTCTGCATCATACCATTATGCCTGACCTAACTAGCAGATACTTCTTTATGGTTGCCTTTCAGTTTTAGAGATCCCTTAAATTGATGGAAATGGTTTGTTTTTCATTGTCTGGCAAGCTGTAACTCTAAGCCTGTGCTTATAGTGATAAGTAGTGCTTACCTGGAAGAGGTAGTGCCAACAAAATTAAGATTAGTAAAAAATAGAAGATAAGGAGAAGCATCTAGGGGCTACACCAAAATTGGGAAGGAAGATCATGAAAAATTTCAAGTATCCTGAAATATTGTTACAGTTGCAGCATAAACTGACTTGAAATGGAGAAGATTTTACTTCAAGCCTGCAACATCAGTTGCAGCTTGAATGTGGCGGCTATCTTAGCAGCGTAGCACAGAAGGTGAAAAAAACCACTCATTCCTGATAATGAACTTCTCTGATTCCTTTATCAGGAATTCTCTTTCCTTTTTCCACGATGAGATACACCTGAATCTTCATTTAAAAGAACTTTTCCCTCTATGATAGCTGACTGTATGTTTGAATTAAAATATGATAAAATACAGTTAAGGAAAAAAATACAGTTTAAAGAAAAAAATCATTTCACTTGCTTGTTCCTTAGAAGTTGATTAAGTGAATACAGTAGCATGGGAAATTGATATGAAGATAGAATCTTACTGAGATTTTTCGAGAGTTTCTCCATATGAGAAGCCTTTACCATAACGTGCCTCCCACTTACTTCTCCTACCTCATCTTGTACCATCTTCCTCATTTCTTAACTATGTTCTAGCTTGTTGGTACTCTTTTTTGATTTTTAACCTCTCCAACTTGTTTCTCCCTTAGGTCCTTTACACTGTTCTTCTTTCTTGGTCTTTCTGATTGTCATGTGGCTGGATCCTTTTCATGAATTAGGCCTCAGATGAATTGTGTGTTTCTAGAGTCTCTGTTAACCCTATTTAGAATAATCCCTTCCTCACAAACCTCTGTCCCCTTACTGTGCATTCTGTTACACAAGGAGACCTTAGCTTGTCTTCTTTGCATTAGAATGTGAGCTACAAGAGGTTACAGACTCAGTCTATCGTCTCATTGCTGTATCCCTTATTACCGAAAAATCCAGATCCAAGTAAAGTAGGTGTTCAATAGGTATTTACTGAACGAGTCAAACCTAGAAGTATAAGCTTATTAGCTTGAAGAACTTGGAAGTCCATTTCATCAGTTTGGTTAGATACTTATCGGGTACTTTTTATATTCAAGGCATAAATAAGGTATTACTTTCTAAACTGACAATAGTTGATTGTCAATGCAAATTTCAGGACCTCACTTGGTTGGCTTCAACTGTCTCATGCTCAGCACCCTCCTTTTCCTTGTCCTGACTCCATGAGGACTGAGAGAAGTGGCTTCTCATGAGATGAAGTTCCCACTTCTCAACCTCTTTTGAAACCTTGTTATGACTTCTTCTATTAAAAATCCTTTTGAGAAGCAATTCAGGTGATACAGTAAGGACATTGCCAGCATTTGTGAACTGACACTTAAAGAAAAACTAGAAAGGTGAGAGAAAAGAAGACATGAAGAGTGAGGTGGGTAGAAGGAAAAAAAATCCATTTTGGTAGCTATCTGCAAAACAAACTCCTTTGCCCACTCATTCAAAATGTTCATGCTTAAAAGTGTCATCAAACTTCAGAGGTGGACTTAAAACCTAACCCCTTTATTTTCTTTGTATTTTATTTATCCTGAGTGCAGTGTGATCCATGAGAGGTTTTTAAGCAGAGGAGAGACGTGATTTGGATGTACAGTTGAGTTAAAATGGATGAGAAAGGAGCCAGGTAATGCTGTATTGGGAAGAGTGAAATTGAGGGGTTTGCAGTACTGGATTGTGAAAACCTTTTTGTTTTTTCCTGTGGAAGTTTATGTGACCTCAGAATCTCCAGGATTCTGAAACTTTATGATGATATGTGTTGGCATTCCTCTCTTTTCATCCTTTGTGCTGGATACTTAGTAGAGTTTTAGTCTGGAAATTTAATGTCTTTCAGTTTTGGAAAATTTTCTCAAATTTTTTTTTTATAATTTCTTTAAAAAAAAAATTTTCTTTTCCCTTTCTTTCCATGGCATCCTCCTTTTTGGATGACCAACTTCTTAGATTACTACTCTAATATTTTTGTGCTCTCCTCTCTCCTATTTTTTTTTAATCTCTGCTGTATTTTCTGAGTGATTTTCTGAACTTGTTCTTCTATATTTTTCACAATGGATATATTATCTTAGTTTTTTGAATTTTATGTTATTTTAAAATTCACATTTTTTTTAGATAGTCAAATACCAAGAAACGCATTCTTTTTGCCAGATTTGTATCAGGACTGGACCATTAGAAGGGTGAAGGTGAAGATACTTTCCTGTCCTTTATAAAGGTCTGTGCCTCTTAATGGTAAGCACTTGTGTTTGGTGTGCTAAATGAATGAGCAGTAGGGAGTAGAGTGGGGTAAGAAGACGGTCCTGGATATTCCCACCATGTTGTAGAAAGCCTCCAGTGTACCCAGCTGTAGCTAGGTAAGTTCTAGGATGCATGACTGAGAAAGGGAGAGTTGTATCAGGGTGGTAGTTGTCTTGACAGCCTGCCTTTGGTGTGTGCAAGGTGTTCATGTGTTAGGATTACTGTCCTCTAAAACAGCTCCTCTTTCTCTCTCCAACATTCCTCCTTCTTCAATGTACCACACTGGTTGCTA